TACAAGTTCAGAGTGAGACATGCAGTCTGGAATGCGTGGTGAAAGCTTGTCCTACTGCAGTCCATCCTGTATGTCTTTGATGGGTAATCAGGTCTTAAGGTCTGGCAACTTGGCCCCTTTCAGTTAGAAAAAAAATAAGAAAAGCTTCATTCTGTGTCTCAGCAGTGCAACCCCCATTGAATTAGCAGGATTTGTGGCATGCAAGCCTCCCACAGTGCTTTGAGAACTAAAGGTCTTTGCAGCATGCGAAATGACCATGTCTGAATTTCAGTATCTTCTGGAATCTTGTGCTCATCAGTTCTGCATTCATTCTGCCATTTTCTGTGCCATCTTCAAATACTGGCATTTTGGTAGGGGCTAAGGGTACAAGTGGCCTATATCCCTTTTCACCCCTGTGTCCCTAGGACCCCACCGATCTGTTAAGGTCAGGTTCTGTGAATCAGCCAGATCAAGGCTGGAGCTGAATGAGCAGAAAAGGCATATCTTGTTAGCTAGCCTACATTCTAGTGAATCAGTCACCCCATGATAGGCCTGGCAACGGCTGCAGCAATGGGTTCCTGCATTTGTAAATGGCTCATGACAAAATTCATCAGAGCGCTTGCTGTGTCAGGGCTGTAAGACTGATGAAAAGCTAAATAACTACTGTAGTGCTCACTCAAGAAAGGCAAGGTCCCTCTGTGGTGTCTTTGGAAATAACAGCTGTAAGTAAAGAGCAATAAACCAGAACTAAACACCCCATTAGTTAAAAAAAGATAATTGTGAAAACAACATGGAGAAATTCTGATTCAGAATGAGGGAGATTAATATTTTTAGCAAAACTCTTGGAGCCAAATTCTGCCCTCTCTTATACCAGTCAATTTTGATAGTCCCATTGTTGATGATAATTCTAGAGGAATCAAAAATATTTATTTTAAAGGCTTCATTTTGCAAGACTTTGGGTCTGCTCCTGTTCTGGGTCCCTGGGACAGCATGAATCAGACCAGATCTGATGATCAGGAATGGATGCTCAGGAACACGCCATTAAACAAAGACCGACTTGACCAGCCATCTTTAACCTGACAGGACCCTCTCCTGCACATCTGTCTGTCCTGCCCAATCTCAGCCTCTCCACTCCTTCTCAGTGTCTCCCAGTCCCAGTTTCCTGCCATCTGCCTGTCTGCCCTCTCTCCTTGCTCTCTTTCTCTCTGCTTACTCCCAGATGCTCTGTTTCTCCCCTTATTCACCTACTGTCATTTTCCCGGAGGGGAGGGGGCCACCTCCTCCCACTTTCCCAGAGGAGGGGCTACCCCTCCTTTCCATAAAACAATGACTGTGCACTCACTCTAAATCATATATTCCCATACTGGGTAGATTCCCGTTACCATATTTACAAATATATATAACCCAAGACATGTGTGTTTGAAGAGAACCTTAACACACACTCCCCACTGTATTCCCTGTTTGATCTGTCCAGACACACTGAATAGCTCTACTCATTCTCAGCACACTGAAGGCTGACTATCACAGGAAGGGGATTGAACTCTATATAATTACAACTATAACGATAAAAGAGAAATCCTTTGGGAAGCATCCCTTAACAGTCTGAGTATATTGACCCATTACAACAGGGGTGGGCAAACTACGGCTTGCGGGCTGCATCTGGCCCGCCAGCCATTTTAATCCAGCCCTTGAGCTCCTGCTGGGGAGTGGGGTCTGAGATAAAATTTCTAGTCACTATTAATGACTACTAGCTAGTCTAGCTTGTCCTAGAACCCACAAGGGGAGAGGCAATTCTTGATTAGACCTAAGTGGAGCACAGGATCTGGTCTAAGAAGTGAATATAGCTGAATCACTGTGTAATAGCTACCATAATGTAATTCAATTTATCATCCTTGTAGAGAGGAAAATACCAAAGAAGAACACCACAGTACCATTTAATTTCAAAAAAGGAAACTATGCAACAATGAGGAAGCAAGTTAAATGGATATTAGAAAGAACAGTTGCAAGAATGAAATGCCTCCGCGCTTCAAGGAAACTTTTTAAAAACACCATAATAGAGGCTCAATAGAGGTATATGTATACCCCTAATAAAAAAAGCCCCCAGTAAGATGACCAAAAAATGCCACCATGGCTAAATAGCAGAATAAAAGAGGCAGTTAGAGGGAAAAAGGCATCCTTCAAAAATTGGAAGTCAAATCCTAGTGAGGAAAATAGAAAGGAGCATAAACATTGGCAAGTCAAGTGTAAAAGTATACTTAGGCAGGCCGAAAAAGAATTTGAAGAGCAGCTAGCAAAAGACACAAAAACTAACAGCAAAAAAATGTAAAGTACAGCAGAAGCAGGAAGCCTGCCAAACAATCACTGGGGCCACCGGATGATTAAGGTGCTAAAGTAGCACTCAAGGAAGACAAGGCAGTTGCAAAGAAGCTAAATGAATTCTTTGCATCGGTGTTTACTGCAGAGGATGTGAGGGAGATTCCCACACTTGAGCCATTCTTTTTAGGTGACAAATATGAGGAATTGTCCCAGATTGAGGTGTCAATAGAGGAGGTTTTGAAACAAATTGATAAATTCAACAGTAATAAATCACCAGGACTAGATAGTATTCACCCAAGAGTTCTTAAGGAACTCAAATATGAAACTGAAGAACTATTAATTGGTATGTAACCTATCACTTTAATCAACCTCTGTACCAGATGACTGGAGGATAGCTAATATAATGCTAATTTTTAAAAGAGCCTCTAGAGGTGATCCTGGCAATTACAGGTCAGTAAACCAGACATTACTACCAGGTAAATTGGTTGAAACTGTACTAAAGAATAGAATTATCAGATGCATAGGTGAACACAATATGTTGGGTTGAGTGCTGTAGCTATTTTTAGAAATCTCACATTGGTACCTTCTTTGCGTTTTGTCAAATCTGCAGTGACAGTGTTCGTAAATCAAACAATGTGCTGGGTCATCATCCGAGACTGCTATAACATGAAATATTGGCAGAATGCCGGTAAAACAGAACAGGGGACATAAAATTCTCCCTCAAGCAGTTCAGTCACAAATTTAATTAACGCACTATTTTTTTAACGAACATCATCAGCATGGAAGCATTTCCTCCGGAATAGTGGCTGAAGCATGAAGGGGCATATGGATGTTTAGCATATCTGGCAAGTAAATACCTTGCAATGCGGGCTACAAAAGTGCTATGCGAACGCCTGTTCTCACTTTCAGGTGACATTGTAAATAAGAAGTAGGCAGCATTATCTCCTGCAAATGTAAACAAACTTGTTTGTCTTTGCGTGATTGGCTGAACAAGAAGTAGGACTGAGTGGACTGTAGGCTCTAAAGTTTTACATTGTTTTGTTTTTGAGTGCAGTTATGTAACAAAAAAATCTACATTTGTAAGTTACATTGATGAACTTTTTCCATATTTCCTTGGCAGAGAATTTCAAAATTATTGATTTTCATGCTGATTCAGAATGAAGCCTGCTTTTTAAATTCTTTGTAAAACAGAACTTCTCTTTTCCACACAGCTTTAAAAATTAACTGCTCTCCCTCAGGTAAAAGATGATCCAATGGCGAACTTTATGTGCGGGTAGTTCCACTTACATTCACAGGAAGGGTTTCTTAGGTGAGTCTGGGCTGTAATGAATTAACATTATGCTCTCAATAGGCAGCTAGCCAACAAAGATGCTACCTGGGCCTTTGAGTTGTTGCTTAGATCTTGTTGCCTTCTGGCTAAAGGAAAGATGGTGAACATAGCTGGTTGTGAAATTTGATTTTTTTAAAGTCATTTTTAATTTTGAAAATTTGAAATTTTGTTTAAAAATAAAAAGAGGAGGATGAAATTTTGGCAGAAAATGTCCCTATTTTCGGCCGGCTCTAATGGTGAAATTAGATCTGGCAAAGGAGAGAATTACACCCATGACAGAGGTCTGACACTGCTGTGTGTGCTCTGCCATCAGGGCTGTTTGTGTGGGTAGTTTCTGGTACATTTGTTGTGAAGGAAGGAATCACTCATTACTGACATATGAACAGTCACCTAGTAGGAGAAGAGCCAGTTTGCTGGCAGTCACAGCAGGGCTGAAGGGCACATAGGTCATGCTGGACTAGAGGATCAACTAGAGCTCCACTGGGACTAAAGATTAAATTCTGTTTCCTGGAACTCCTTCTGGAAATCCCTGTTGTGGGTCCTATGGCTATGCAGGGTCTATAGAGCAAGAGAATGCCAGTTACTGGAGATTACCGTCCTTTCCCTTTAAATAATAAAATCACAATTTCAGTAGGGTTCTAGTGAACCCGAAGGTGAGGATTCTGAGCTGTGGTCAGTGAGGCACTTTGATCAGCTCCCCTGTCTGGCTAATGACACATTAAGATCCTTTCTGCTAGTGCATCTTGACCTCCTATTTGGGCAAGTCTGGATTATTTACTGGAAAGTAAAAGGTCTTTGCTTTTTATCCCTCAGCAGAGGCAGAGAAGCAGCTTTGTGCTGGCAATGTAGTGAGAAGTGATTCTGTTCTTTTGGCTAGTTTTTGAAAAATGAAAGCCTTGCGCCTGTTTAACTTAGTCACCTTTGCCCATTCATTTTGTGAAACTGCTGTGGCACGCCAGTGGCAGGCCAGAGTCTTTATTCAGCAGCCCTCTCTGGGGCTCTTCAGCTATCCACTCATTTGTTTTGCCATGGATTGAATACAGTATAATTTGCATTTACTATATGACACCTTTGCACTTTCTGTATGTAGCATCTTCCATTCAGTGATTTCAAAGGGACCTGGTCAGTCATTTACCTCTAACATCAGCAGTAACGCAAAGCCAGGCTGTGAGCTAGTGAGTTCTGGCATATGAGACTCTCTGCCCATCACACCACTGCACAGTTGAATCTCAGGCACTGTGCTGGAGTAGGCCAACCCTCTGTTGCTTTGCATAGGTTTTGTTTTTTTAACACGGTGCCAACTTACCTTTGGCACTTGGCCCAGAGTCTGTGCGCTGTTCTGATAGAGCTGCTCTTGTTCTTGTCTCTCTTCCAGACAAAGAGCACTTGAAGGAGAGGGAGAAGCTGGAAATGGAATTGGCAGCCGTGCGCTCTGCCAGTGAGGATCAGCGGAGACACATCGAAATCCTGGACCAGGCACTGAACAATGCTCAGGCCAAGGTCATCAAACTGGAAGAGGAGGTGAGATGAGGGCATCATTTCCTCTGCTTTGCTGCAAATGATTGCTTGTATTTAGTATTCATTTTACAGCTGTAATTCAGCCCAGCCTCTAAACCCTTTCCAGCACCAGGGTGGCAGCCCCCCTCTTTCCCAGACCCTTCCAAACAGAAAACAATTATAAAACACTGAGCCAGGCAGGATTTGAAAGGAAACCACAATCCCAGATGCTTTCTGTATAACCAAAAGCTTGACCAAATTTCACCAGCCGATGGCTAACGTGATGTTAGGACTTTAGAATACCCTATCTACTAATTTAGGACTTGTGTAATTAATGAGAAAATATCTTATATGGGTATAGTCCATTTCTTCTCAAAGAATCCCAAAGTGCATACATATAGTGTGTGTCTGTGTATACAAACACATACAGACAGACATCATCTTCCTTTCATATTCTCTGTGTGTATATAAAGTCTGCTGCAGTTTCCACGGTATGCATCCGATGAAGTGAGCTGTAGCTCACGAAAGCTCATGCTCAAGTAAATTGGTTAGTCTCTAAGGTGCCACAAGTACTCCTTTTCTTTTTGCGAATACAGACTAACACGGCTGTTACTCTGAAACACACACACAGAGTGCACCACAGTCAGCCAGATCAATTCACAGAACTCAGTACAACAGGACCAGATAACTTGCATTCAGGAGTATTAAAAGAAATGGCTGAGGCACTCTGATATTTAACAAATCTTTGAATACTGGTGAAGAAAAGCTAATGTCCCAGCATTTATACAGGATTAACATGGGTAACTATAGGCTGGTTAGCTTGACATCAGTCATGGGCAAAATCTTGGAAAGACTGATTGAGTGCAATCAGTAAAGAATTAAAGAATGGTCTCATAATTAATGCAAATCAGTATGATTATATGGAAAACAGAGATTGTCAAACTAACATGATATAATTTCATGAGATTACGAGATTGGTTGAGTTTAAAATAATATATTCAGATTTGTGTAAGACATTTGACGAAGTGTTGCACAACATTCTGATTAAAAAATTAGCATTATACAAAATCAATGTAGCCCTTATTAAATGGATTAAAAAGTGGTTAACTGATGGATCTCGAAAAGTCATTGTACATGGGGATTAGTCACAAATGAGGATGTTTCTAGTGGATCTGTTCTTGGTCCAGTGCTATTCAATATCTTTGTCAATGATTTGGATGAGAACATAAAAACATTGCTGGTAAAGTTTGCAGGGTTCTGAAAAGAGCTACAAGAATGATATGAAGTCTAGAAAACCTGCCCAACAATGAGACTAAAGAAGACTAATCTGTTTAGATTACCCAAGCGTTGTTTAAGAGGCGATTCAACCACAGTATCAGAATACTTACATCATCGTGTAGATCAGTGGTTCTCAAACTTGTATTGGTGACCCCTTCCACATAGGGAGCCTGAGTGTATATATTAAATTAAATTAAAAACACTTTTTATATATTTAACACCATTATAAATGCTGGAGGCAAAGCAGGGTTTGAATCTTGTGACCCCCTGAGGGGTCCCAACCCCCAGTTTGAGAACCCCTGGTGTAGATGTACTTACATAGGGAGAACATTTCTGATAAAAGAGGGTTCTTTGATCTAGCAGACAGACAAAAGCATAACAGTATCCAGTAGCTGAAGATGAAACTAGACAAATTCAGACTAGAATAAGGTGTACATTTTTAACAGCGAAGGTAATTAACTATTGGAGCAGTTTACCTACGGGGGTTCTAGCTTCTCCATCATTTGAAGTCTTTAAATCAAGATTGCATGTCTTTCTAAAAGATCTGCTATAGCTCAATCAGAATTTATGAGCTTGATGCAGGAGTCACTTGGTGAAATTTTATGGCCTGTGTTATGCAGGAGATCAGACTAGATTATCATAATTGGCCTTTCTGGTTTTATCTATGAACAGTGTAATGAGGGAAATTCTGAATAAGGATAAAAAGGCTATGGGACCTTGAATGTCTATACAGAGCAGATCAGACCTTGGTGAGAGGGAGGGTTGTCCAGTGGTTTGGGCGCTAGCTAGGACTTGGGAGATCCAGGCACAATTCACTGCTCTGCCACAGAGTTCCTGTGTGACCTTATGCAAGTCACTTAGTCAGTCTGGCCCATATTTTTAAAGGTATTTAGCCATTGCTTCTCTCAGCAACATTGCTGCCGCACCTAACTGATTAAGGAGCCCAAATCTTATTTTCAAAAGGGATTTAGGCACTTAAGAGCCAGAATCCAAATGGGATTTAAATATTTCTTGAAAATGAGATTTAGGCTCCTAAATCAGTTAGACATTGCAACACTGAGCGCAGCGATGCCTAATTACCTTTACTAACCTTTAATAATAACAATATGTTATTCCCACAAGAAAGGTTGGGGACCACTGGCCTAGATGATCATAATGGTCCCTTAAAAAGAAGAAGGAGTCTGGTGGCACCTTAAAGTCTAACAGATTTATTTGAGCATAAGCTTCTGAAGAAGTGAGGTTTTTACCCATGAAAGCTTATGCTCAAATAAATCTGTTAGTCTTTAAGGTGCCACCGGACTCCTTGTTTTTGTGGATACAGACTAACACGGCTACCCCCTGATACTTGACATAATGGTCCCTCTGACCTTAAAATGTATAAATCTAAGGCTAGATACTGGTTGAGCCAAGAGAGAAACTTTTTTCCTGATCACTGGGCCAGGACCAGCACCTGGATAAGTTTACTGATCCTATGAATTTTTCTATTGTTCCATTAAATGTTTCTTGCTCTAATAAGTCATGAGTTATTGGATCATAAAATCATATCATTCTTATTATGCTCTTGCCTCTTCACACACAGTTCAGTTCTAAGCTGACTAGCAATTATTTCCCCACCAAATTTCTCCTGTTCCGTTTAGCAAACATTTTTCACTTTGATTTTTAAAGGTATTTGTGTGCATCTGGTGATTATGAAATTACAGACTGGGTAAGGATGTCAGAATTGCCCAATAATAATAATTCATTATTATTTATGGACAAGTGAGCTATATTTTTGTGTATAATCAACAAAATTGTTAACAAAGGGCTTGATACTGTGAACACTTCAGTGCATTCCTTTACTATAGTGAATAAAATTACATGCATGCTTAAGCATTTGCAGGGCTGGAGCCTAAATTCCAATTACAAAGCAAAATTTTGCATTTGGTTAAATCAGTGCACTTCCTTTGCAGACAACAGGGTTTCTCAGTTATGAATGAGAGGTAATTTGGCTTGGAGTGTCTTTATTGCTACTGATGATGAATGAGGGAGAAAGAATCCAGCTTGACTCTCTGATCCCAGGCTCAGTTTGCAGGGCTGGCAGTTAGTAAAACCATCTTTTTGCTTGTAAACTGAGCACCTTTGATCAGTAAGCTAGAGATCATGAACATGGAACCCCACAATACCACTCTCACAGAGTCACACACCCCTTGGGAATCTAATCTTCTGATTGCTTCTGGACATTAGTTCAGATTCTAATCTCATTCATATCAATGTAAATCCATTGAAATAACTGCTGTTTACAGCAGTGTAATGGAGATGAGAATCTGGCCCATTGTTACTGAGTCTAGAAAGGCTGCTTAGAATAAGTTTTGTCTTGCACCTGTATTGTAAGAAAACCTCCATCAATTTCATTCTGATTTTTGACTTGGGTATTTTATGGTCACAGAGAACAATTTTGAGGCATAAGACTCCATTGTCAGTATAATCTGTGGGAAGGTACATAGCTTGATCTAGCATTGTGCTGAAAGAATTCCACCTATTCTGGCTGAAACACCTGTGCCCCCGCTTTATAATTGCTAAGAGCTTCATGCAAAGGACCACATTCAGGAAAGCATTTGCAATCCATAATAACAACTGTTATTGGTCCAACAAAACCCAGGAAGAAAGCTGCATATTCTGGAGCGCCATCTAAGAGCACATTATCTATTAACTAATTATTGACTAGAGCTGGTCAGAAATTTTCTAGTTAATCTTTTTTTGGGGGGTCAAAAAATGCCAGTTCACCCAAACTAACACCGTTTGCAAACCCGGATCAGGTTCAAGGAATTTCCTGACTCAAAAAAACCAAAAAGGTTTTGAATTGTTGAAACATTTCACTTTGACATTTTCAAAATGAATAATTCCAGTGTTCCAGTTTGAGAGGACTTTTTGCTTTGAAATTTAAGCTCATAAGACCAAAAAAAAGTTCTGAAAAGAAGGTCAAAATCAAAATTAAATGTGTTGAAATTATCATACTGAAACAATTCAATTGACTTGAAACGGGGAAAAAAATTGGTTTCCCAGTTTGCAAAAGTTTAAGATTTTGACTTTTTGTCCTGATCTGAGAGGTGCAAAAATATTAAACTCTTGAAAATATTTGTGAAACTGGAAAACTACTGTTTCCTATTCACATGTATACAGACATATTTCTTTATAGAGCACTCTTCTAATGATAACTGTGTTAAACATTAGTCTTTCAACCTCCTATCTGGACTGTAAAATGTGCAAAGAACCAAAGCCACGTGAGCACAAATAAATGAGGAAGAGTGGGAGTGTCTGTGTATCTAGACTAGAAGCCAGGAATCCGGTGTATGCTAGGAATTAGCTGTGACTTTGGATAGTCATATTAACCTCATATTGTCATACTGTGACTAAAGTCATATTAAACTCTCTGTCTCAGTTTCATATCTATCAAGTGGCAATAATCACACTGATCTCTGTAAAGTCAGTATTTAACAAAATCCAAACTATCTAACCCCAACTCCTGGGCCGAGTGAACTTTTCGGTAAGGCTAGAAATGTTTTTAATTGGTTTGGACTTGCAGCCTTGCTTTATGCTAATTGATTTTTTCTGTACAACACAGCAGATATGTTTTGAAGGGGATTAAACAATTAAATTGTTGGGATGGAAGAACAAGAACACAATATCTCACCAGAGAGAGGCATTGCAGCCCGCAGGGTGAAGTCTTGAATCTGTCTGCAGCAGTCAAAGTGATATGCATGCAAGTTTAGGGTTAGCATCCAAGCTCCATGGGAAAGAGAACTGTATTTTAGTCACTCTTGATAGAAACAATTTGCATATTGGATTACACTGGGACTGATCCTGAGAGGTGCTGAGTAATTCCAACTCCAATTGACTTCACTATACCCCAGGATCAGGCCCATTTTTTGTCCTAGTTGCTTCCCTAGGATCAGTTTTCACAGAAGGCTTTGATGCCCTTCTCACTGACATGTGCCTTGGGCAGTCTGTGGCATATCTGAACTCTTCCCCAAAGGTTCTAAGGCATGTTAATTCCCGTCATAGATTAATATCATTTTACCTTGTTGTCCTGCAATTACCACTTCTGTAGCACAGTGGGAGGCTGCAAGAATAATGGCTCAGATAGCAGCTATGATGCACCTAATATCTGCATCCACTTGCATGCCTAAAAGGTCACAGAGAAAGTCTGCAGTCCACTCCCACAAACTCCTGTTAGGGTATGCTACTTGAGCAAGTCAGGATTAATCTCAGGCCATAAAATGCTAGGTTGCAGAATCCTCATGTAACACTGGGCCTATAAATCACTCAGTGCATGCATTAGAAGTAAGAATGGCTTTAGCTGATACTAACAGTCACCCATATTCATCTGTATGACCTAGCCCTTGGTAGACAAGAAAACATCTGGAAACCGTCCAACAGATGTATATCTTCAACTAAGGGTCTGCAGATGCCTTTCCCATCATCGGAGACTGGATCATGCAGATATACAGGGTTAAGATTTATTTCTAGAATCATAGAGTTGAAGGCTAGAAGGGACCATTAGATCATCTAGTCTGAACTCCTGTATATCACAGGCCAATTAAATTTCACCAAGTTATCCCCTTATTGAGCCTGATAACTTGTGTTTGGCTAAAACATAGAGCTTGATTTGAAAACATCAAGAGAGGGAGAATCCGCCTTTTCCCTTCATACTTCATCCAGGTGATTAATTACCTCACTGCTAAAGATGTGTGGCTAAATTCTAATTTGAATTTGTCTGGCTTCAGCTTCCAGCCACTGGTTCTTGTCATGCCGTTCTCCACTAGATTAAAGAGCCCTTTGCTACCCAGAATTTTCTCCCTGTGAAATTTAGGTTCAGTGAAAGCCACATTTACATGCAACATGCACATGCCAGTGATTTATGAGATCATATCACAACCTAATTCATAGACATAAACATTCATGTCATATTTGTTTGGCTTCTGCTCTTCTGTTAATGACACTGTGCCCTCCGCTTGCGCTCTGCCCCCAGTTGCGTAAGAAGCAGGCCTATGTTGAGAAAGTGGAGAAGCTGCAGCAGGCTCTGACCCAGCTCCAGGCAGCATGTGAGAAACGGGAGCAGATGGAACGGCGATTGCGCACACGGCTGGAGCGGGAGCTGGATTCGCTGAGGATGCAGCAGGTGAGAGGCTGATTGGTCGTGGGCCACAAGCACATCCATCCCGATGCCTGGGTAAATAAGGACGGAATGCTTCATGCCCTGTACCCCTGGCATTACCTCCAGGATGTGTCTTGGCAATGAGAACAGGAGGACTGGCCTCTCACCCTTTGCCACCATGATGATAGTAGAAACAAGAATGGTATTTTATTTGCCCATCCAAAACAATTTCCTTCCCCCCTCTCAGTGAGTGGGTGAGTGCAGTTTTGTGAGGCTGAGTTAGGGGGCGCTTCCAAATCCTTGCTTGTTTCTGCAGTGCTTTGTTAGCTCTCAGTGCCTTTTTCCATCAGTTTGATGCAATGGTTGCAAGAGTTTCTCTCTGAAGTTGGCCACAGTTAGCTAAGCCTTTTTGTGAGCTCTACATTGGATTAACGATGCAGTGCTTTCTCTGTGGGGCTACCCATGAAAGCCATTTGGAAGCTACAGCTCATTCAGCATGTGACAGCCAGCTTGCTTAGTAGCATTAGCCAAAGTGCATATTACACCAGTGCTTCAATGGCTGCCCTGCCTCTATTTGATTCTAGGCACAATTCATCATGATCCTTAAAGCCCTGCCTGGCTGAGTCCTAGTTATAAGAGGGACCACGTCTCTCCCTATGCAGCATTGTAACAGCTGAGGTCAGCTGAAGTGCTCTCACCTACAGATCTGAGTATCTGGAGGTAGACTGTTTTCAGAGAAGGACCCTTTGAGAGGTCCTTAAGGCAGGTGTTGAGGTTAGATAGCAAAGTAAATGATGACAGACTGCTGATCAGGCCTGCATGGTGTGAATATTCATATAGCAGTCACTCAACTCCTATAGTCATGACCCTACATGTTCTTGCCTTGGTGTAAAACCTGCACAGACTCTTGTTGGTTGCTAAATAAACCAAAAAGCAAACCAGCTCAATGACAAGCTAAACAAATACAGGAGCATTTTGGAGAATTGTCATATTCTTAGGATTTTTATTTTTTTTTACCAGTCCCTCTAGAGAGATTCAAGAATTCCTTGACTCCATGGGGTGTTGTCAGGGCTCCTGCATTAGAGCTGTGTGAGCACCTGGTTGAGTTTTAAAGCTCTGAGTTTTCCATGCAGCACTGAAGCAGAAACCTGGATGCTTAATACTCATGACTTGACACGTACCACATACTTTTTTCATTTTTTTAATCAGGACAGTCATTTTTAACTATATCAAAGGTCACCCTGATGGAAATTTCTGGATTTTAGATGAATCCTTCACTTGGAAAAGCCTGTTCAGTGCTGACTTTAAATAGAGGATTATTTATTATTTCTCCACCATTTTTGCTTGATGGCGCTTGGCTCTCTCCAGATGCTGAATAGACACTAGTTACGGCTCCATAGTTAAGGTTGAGTGTAGTTTTGCACTGAAAGTAGGGATTCAAATGCTTTCATATCTATGGAGAATACAGTGTATCCTCCCCAAAATTGCTTTTCAAAAACTACCCTTTGCACCAGACCTGTTCAACAGGGAGGGTAGGTGGGAAAAACTCTGTATGTGTGTACAGGTGCATGCAGAGGAATGTAGGGGTTGAAGGAGCAAGTGGGAAATAGGTGTGTATGTCTGTGTGTGCAGGGGAATGTGCAGGGCCTATGGGAAGGAGAAACTGGGATATGTGTCCAGGGGAATATGGAGGGAGTGGGGAAGCTGGGGGGAGGGATGCAGGAGAATGTGGGGGACAGGATGTAGGGGAAAAGTGGGGAATGTACTCCATTTTGTTGTGTAGCTGTTGCAGGGCAAAGCAGCTGTAAACCCATCTGTACTGGTAAGTATGCTCTGGCTGATTTGTGCTGCTCCAGGGAGGTGTAAAGCAGCCAAAGCACACTGGTGAATCTGGCTACAAAAGGCTTAAAATAAATAAATAAATAAATAAATATTATGTTTTAAGGTTGATATTACACATCTTCATGTCATTAGAAATATCGTAAGGCAACATTCTCTTTTGTTTCCTATTTACGGTTTAATGTATGAAAACTGTAATTAAAAAAACAAAACAAGGAAATTCGTAGACAAAAACAATGTTAATCTGAAGTTAGGTTTGAGAGTACATATATCAATCATTTAGGGTAAAACACATTACAGGAATGTTGCAGTTAACCCCACAAACAAGCCTTATAAACCTAGGAAATTCAGATTTCAGGCTAACCTTACCATAATAAAAATATGGTATGGTATGGAAATGCAGAATTGGAGCACTCAAACAGCCTTTACTCTGCCTTGTGGTGAAACAATGAGTGGAGTGGGGTGGGGAAGGAAAGCAAAAAAAATCTAATTTGCTTCAAAAATCAATCTAATTTGGGACTTATCACTAAAATCCTTAGCTGTAATCATATGGTTATTGCATGATGTCACTAAAGAGCAGAGTTAAGGTCCTGAACTGGGACCAATGTAAGTAAGGAATGCATACGCTCTCCAGCCTTAACTTTGGCAATTCCAGACTCTTAAACACTTCACAATTCAACCGTATCATTTATAAAGCTTTGGGATTTACACCTGCTGAGAATCTGACCCATAGTTTTTTTGATGGACTTTTACTGAAAATGCAAGTTACTATCAAACGGATCCTATAGAACCAAACACTCAAACAGCATTTAATAGCATTTTCGGTGTAACATGACATTGATTTGGTATATGGAAATACACGCACAAATTCAGAATAATTTACATGATTACAAAGGACCATTTCTTCTGCTACTCCAATAAATTATTTATATATGGGTTAAAAACAAAATTGGATGGAGGTGCGGAGACATGGTTCTATGAATGCTTCCCGGGATCTCATGGGTTTTTTAGGGAGCTCTGCATACAAGTGTTTGAGCCCGTACTTTTATGCTTAGTTGAACTGTCTTAGCACAGTCACTCATCTAGATAAGTAACTGCCTCTTTCGCCTTCACTTATCACCACCTCCTCAAAACAAATCGTAATGTTATTTTGGGGAGTAGATTAGTTCATGACAAACAAAAAGCATTGAAGAGTTTGCAGAGAGAATTCCCAGCTGGCAGCTAGCACTGAGATCAGAACATGTGAATATTGGCTGCTGAGGGTCAGCGAATGGATATACTAGTGCATTAAGCCACCATTTGAGAAAAACAGCTGAAGGGTGTAAAAGGGAACATAACTGAGGCATGACATGTAGTTTTAACTTAGAAAGTTCACACATTTCCCACTGTCGAGAAACACTGCTGCTGCCAGAACCCTACTGGAATCAGGGCTTGTTATTGCTAAGACTTGTGGCAAATGGACACACTGCTACACAGTGTTGTTGCTTAAAAGCAAAGGACCTGATTCTGCTCTTAGCTACGTGGGGGTAAATCAGAAGTAACTCCATTGACTTAAATGGAGTTATAACAGTGTAAAAACCAGTGTGAGAGGTGGATCAGGGCCCCAAAAGAGAAGCTAGTTGCAGTTAAGTAACATTAAAAAAAAAATCTTATTTTCAGTGTTTGAATATCAGAGAGCCACATCAGTCTGTGGTGTAATCAGAATGGACTTCTGGATCAGGCACTGGACTTGGGTTCAGGGGATCTAGGATCAATCTCTGGCTTTGCCACAGACTCTCTGTGTGACCTCACAAGTTGCTCAATCTCTTTGTGCCTCAATTTTCACCGGGAAGGTGGGAAATCTGCAAATATTTCTCTACTTCACAGGGATATTGGGGGGATAAAAGCATAAATACTGGGCAGGCTCCATAGTTAGTGGCTTGGAATTGTAATTAGCACCATGTTTAAAGTGTCGTAATTCTGGAACACCTTTTCCCTTCAGATTTTCACTTCAAAAAATTGCCTTGGCCTCTCAGCTAACCTGCTGGGTTTGAGGGGAGGCTGGTATGAATGTTTGGGTTATTTTTTAATTTGAGAGAGGGCCAAAACCAGGTTTATGATGAACAACTAGCTCTAATTGTAACTGTGGGGTGAGTCCCATCACTCCATAAAATAACACCTGCTATCCATGTATCACAGTCATATCTACGGAATATTGAGTCATGCCAAATAAAATAGACTTTTACTACTTTTTACCCCAGTGAGCTTTATAGACCCAGTCCACCTGGGAGAGAATGAGCTGGATTTTATTCTGGCTCAGTTACCATCAACAGAATTATTAGCTAAACTCCAAATGGCCAGTCTTTATTGTTGATGATGCATATATCCAGGAAAAAAGGACCTCTTAACTTTATATTCCAGGTTGAGTTTTCGGGGTTGGCATTTATTTTGATCTGAAATTAATAAGACACTCTACACATGGAGTTTCAGGGTACAATTTTTACAGAGTGGAATTGCTCTGTAAAAATATGGTCATACCTTCCAGGACTGACATTATCTGAAGCATAACTGATGTTTTTATTGGTGAAGCATCACAACAGTTGCCCCCAAAGGATTGTTCCATAATGGATTGTTCCAGAAAACTTCTTCCAAAAAAGTCAGTATTACCCCAAAGCCAAAGTTCACTTAAGTCTTCTCCTGCATTCCCAAGTCATGTTTTCTGTCATCAAGAGGAAAGGTTCCAAAACGACGAAATAGAGGCTGTCGTATTTTGTGACATGAATTCCAGAGAATGGAAATGTAGGTTACATGGTAACCCCTGAGTTCATGGTGTTGATGCCCTGGGCAGCTTGTGATGTGGCAAAGTTGACAAACAGGGGTGTGCACAGCATAGTTTCCTCGTCTCTGACACAATCTTACGTGCCACTAAGTGCAGCAACTCTTATGCTTTATAAAACACTGCAATAATGTCTACTCTCTGAAGGTCTCAGGGAACTTTACAACCCTTAATTCTCACACCATCCCCTATGGATTCGGTAACTATTGTTATCCCCATTTTAGGTACAGGGAGGTTAAGTAATTTGCTTAAGGTCTTACTTTCACTGTTCCATACAGAGTTCCTGTGGGAGCTGAAAACCAGCGTTTTGCTCAGTTTCGAACCAGGGACTTTTTGCATGCTAGATAAACACACGAACTGCTACACTAGAGAAACCACCTCCTAAGATCGTGTGGGAGAACCAGGAATAGAGCCACGGTCTTTTAACTCCCCATCCTCTGCATTAGCTTCCCTGCTTTGGATAAACAGTTTTCTATTCTATCGGGTTCTTTCATTCCTCTGCATTAGCTTCCCTGCTTTGGATAAACAGTTTTCTATTCTATCGGGTTCTTTCATCCACTGTGTCCATTTTGCTTATCTTATAACTCTGAAATTTCAAAAGATGATGCCAAATGAGATAATGCGTAAACAAACGTCAGTGTTCTCCATAACATAAGAAAGCTTTATCCACACTCATGGATTGATCTCTGTATCTTATGATGATGCTGATTATTGAAGTGCCATTAATGTGCTACGTGCAGTAGAGGTACGGTAGCTGGTATTAAGAATGCTCTATAAACTCATATGTTTAGGGGAGTCGGACAGTCTGAAACTGGTGCTTAAGAAGCCATAGTAGATACATGGGGCCAGATCCCCAGCTGCTGTAAATTGGCATAGAGCCATGGCCCATAATAGTGGCCAAGTGCCATTTAATTTAGCATGCTATATTGCTTTGCTTCTGGGTTATATTTAACTATTTCCGATTCCCCTACACATGTTGGACACTCTCTCCATGCATGAGAGAAGTGTGACAAAGTGTCAGCAAAAGAGGTATTTTAATGCTAGGTTTGGAGTATCCCACGATGCCCTTGCATTCCAGGAGGAGCAGCAGGAACCCTAGTTCTGTCAGCCTGGTTCAGCATCCCACGGAATATGTGATGGCCACAGTGAGCATCTGGAAAGCCAGTCCTGCCAGCACATTTGTCAAATGTAATAACAATGGAACACAACCTTTGCTTGCATTGCACCTTTCCTACAAACTGCACCCCCCAGCTGCTTGGCAGTGCAAGACAGCAGCCATTAGAGAGGTAAAAGACAAAGGGTGGGACTTTTTAAAGTGCTCCATGTAGGCGCTGCAAAAGTCCCTGGTAAAACTCCCGGGTAAAACTCCCTGGTAAAACTCCATGGAAGCAGACTTAGGCCAACTCTAAGCTCTTTAGAAAATCCCATTGCACATTTTCAAACTCAGGTTTGAAACTTTAACTAACTAAACTCTAACTTTAGGCCCCAAGGCCCAGATTCTCAAAGGTATTTAAGGACCTAATTCCCATTGAAAGGAATGGGGGTTAGGCGCTTAAGTACCTTTGACGATGTGGACCCAAATCCATATTTAGGTACCTGTTTAAGTGGATGGATTTTCAAGCGTGTTGAGAATGCTCCATTCCCACTGACTTCATTTGGATTTGCAAGTACTCAGCACCTCTGAAAAGCTGGCCTCTGATGTAGGTGCCCTAACTTGAGGCTGCCAGGTTTGAAAATGCTAGCTTAAAAGACAGCAGGAGGAGAGAAAAATGAAGGAGCCTGGACACGGCGGATGAGAGATTTGAAAAAAGATTGCAGACCAATAAGGGAGAGAGACACCGGCAGGCTCTCTCAGACAAGGCTGATCTCTTGCACAGACAGCATGGAGATTACTTGAAGGAACTGAGGAAAGAAGGGAAAGGGGCATAGAGACAAGAAGTCAGAACCCTGTGCAGTCCGTGTGCTGTTTCAGCTCCCACGCATGCTGTAATAGGCAGCAGACATGCTGTCTCTACTAGCCTATTTCACAATTCCATTGCTTTTTCAGCAATCCATCAAGTATGTTATGTGGGCAGATGTATGCCCGGGATAGCAGCTCAGTTCTTTCACCAGCTCATGCAGTATATGCATGTGCGAGGGTGAGCATCCAGCTCAATCAGCCCATGAGGTATTAACACTCCACGGTGGAGAGCTGGACTGCTCCACCCCGTGAGGAGTGTGCTTGCTGTGGTGGGACCACCAGTTCTTTTAGCCTCTTTCAACATCTTTTAGCCCTCAGTCAGTCACCTTCAGGAACTTGGGGAGGACCCCACCTTCAGCTGGAAGTTTTACACACGCCATCTGTAGCCTTGCCTCCTTTGCTAAGCAATAAATCAGCTTTCCTGATGCTGTTGAGTTGCTAGGGACAGTTTCTAGAGCAAACTTGCATCTCACTGGTTGTAGGCAATAACTATTGGGTCACGCTTTGACAAGGAGCCCTATTTAAGCTCTGATTGCCAGGGTGGCTACTGATTCAGCAACAGGCCACCCAAAAGGTTGAAAGCCCCTGGGTTTGTTTTGCAGAAGATTTTGTAGAAGAGGTGCCTGCAGCTCTCGTGTTGGTGCAGGCTGAATATCTTTCGTTGTTTCCCTCTCCCCAACTCCAGAGACAGGGGAACTACCAGGCCGAAAGCCTGCCAGAACACAATGCCCCAGCACTGATGGAGCTAGTGCGGGAAAAGGAGGAGAGGATTCTGGCTCTGGAAGCTGACATGACCAAGTGGGAGCAGAAGTATCTAGAGGAGAGCACAATCAGGCACTTTGCCATGAATGCAGCAGCCACAGCGGCAACAGAAAGGTAAGATCATATTGTTCTAGGCAGTCAGCAATACACTCAATCAAATGAGGCTTTGTATAGTAAAAAGAAGTGGGTGTTTTCTTAGGGACAAATCTGGCGTGGTTTATCCAGTCATGTAGTCCCGTTGAAGTTAATGGGACCATTCACTATAGCAAGGCCATGAGGCCTTGCCATTCCGGGTCAGGATCAATGGTTCATCAAGGCCAGTGAACCAGCCTCCAGCAGTGTCCTATAGCTAGGGCCCTGTGTAAATCATGATTATTATTTTTTTTAGAAAATTCACAACAGTGTAAATGGCAAAATATTGAATTTCATGGAGTTTGCACAGAATGAAGTTTACAAATAATGTTCATCAGTTTCAAGGACAGAAAATTCATTGACTATTGTTACTTGTAAAATTCATTCCATCCTTGAAATGGACTTTCCTGTAGACTTTTACGTTTTAAAAAAATATTTTAAAATTACAGTTTGAGGGCATTTTCACAACTTCCATGCCCTCCAGGAAATCGTGATTTATTCAGGGTCCTACCTATAACTGTTTCATCAAAGGAAGGCAGAAGTTTTCCTTAATAAACCTGGTTTAATGTACTTGGCATGTGTGGGGGAGGAGAGAGAATTTTTCTCCATAGTATTAAGGGCTCACAAAGGAATTTCCCTCCATTTACTGCCAGATACTATCAAGTATTTCACATAGACCCAGGCATTTTAATTACCCAAAAATGAATGTATTCACTGGGGGCTTGATTTTCAGAGAGGTATGTCATGGGGCGCACCACTCACTGCCTGACTGCCTTCTGGTACTCTGGGGATTAGCTTGAGGCAGACGATCCCCATCCATGGTTTGCACACCGTCACCCTGTCCACCTGGAGCTCCTCTCACAGCATCCTCTTCATGGCTCGGCCCTGTGGCTGTGTCACAGGTTACCACCCCCCTCCCGGGGGAGGTTTAGCTCCTTCTCTCGCTCACTGCCTCAGTGCCACTTGCCCAGTGGCTGGTAGGGGAACCCAGGCCCACGCTCTTCTCTAGGTTCCAGGCCAGGGACCCTCAGTTTAGCAATCTGGGCCTTCTCTCTCTGGCCTCACTGCTCTATCCCTGGGCTTCTTCCTGCTGTTGGTTCCCCGTTTCTTCATAGGCCTACCAGTTCCCCAACACCTCCTTCCTCTTCCCAGGTAGTGTCTGCAGTCTCCACTCATTCCTCCCTTTCTCCTGGGGGTGTCTGCCTTTTTTCCCAGTAGCCCCTTCTGCTTCAGCTCTTAGCCTTTATAGACCCTGCCTATTCCGACCCAGCTGAGCTTCCTTAATCAGCTGCCTAAGGGGTTAATTGGCACATCTGTCCTGCATTAAACCCTGCAAGGTGAGCATGGGGTAGTCACCCCATCACAATGCAAAGTACCCACAACTCCTGTTGACTTCAGCTAGACTTGTGGGTGTTCAGCACCTTTTCAAATCAGGCCGTTTGTGTCTTCAGAATAGGGTTTTTAATATTTCTGTCACAGGTAATACAAGGCATTGTCACTGATGTGTACTGGCATCTAAAATATCATAATTAAAAGGACCATATCAAATATTTTAGATCCTAAACGTAGGTATGACTTTATAAAAAAATGTAAAATAAAAAACAACAAAACCCAGGTTTGCAAAATTTCACATAAAATACGTTTTTAATCAATTATATATTTTTCTTTATATAAATGTTTTCTTGAAAATTTTCCCCTATGGCTTTGGAAACCCAAACACACTAGCTTTGTGCAAGTGTATGAGAACCAGAAAGTGAAACTTAACTTGAAACAGGAAATTAACTTGATCTATCTCATTTTCTCATCCAGCATTGAAGTGCAGAAGCAAACAGCAAATTAGATTTAATGTGCTGACTCTTGTGATTTTCTTTCAACCTTCACATTATTTGGTGTTTTTCTTAAAGCCCCAGCACATAGAACCAAGTGATTACATGAGAATCTCTGCTTTCATTAATTTTTTAAATTTTTTTCTAGCCCTTGTGATTGTACAGGAAAACATGAAACATGATTCAAGTGTATTTCAAAGGCTCAGAAACCTGAGGGGAGTTAAAAACAATCCACAGTTCATTTATTTATTATTTATATCACCAGCTAAGGATTTATTGTTTAATATACTGGACCAGGTCTTCAACTGATGTAAATCAACATAGGTTCATTGAACCCAAGAGAGCTGAGCTGTTTTAGACTGGCAGAGGATCTGGTCCATTATTTTTATCTTGACAGTGTCCTTCAATTTTAATTCATTTTAGAACATGAGATTTCACCTCCAATTTGTTCCCTCCCACCTTTTGTTGTATTTTCAGAAATCCTCATTTCACTGGACTATTACACCCTCCAAATATAGCTGTAGATTTCCATTGTAACGTGAATGGTGAAAAAACAGTTGCATACCTGTTTGTATCAAAAGAGGCCTTTTATTGAACCAAGTGACACTAAAAGGTGTGGCTGTGTCTTGTGTTGCTAGGGATACCTCAGTCATTAACCACTCGCGGAATGGCAGCTACAACGAGAACTCCCTGGAGGTTCGAATATGGCAGGAAGAGGAGGAGATTGTTCAAGCCAATCGGAGGTGTCAGGACATGGAATACACGTAAAGGACAGCTTTAAATACTTACTGCGGGATTTGTGCTAAAGGTCTTATCTTGAGATCCATAGCGTCCTAACCGCTTGGATCCTTGGATAAGCTAGCCCATGCGTCATTTAGCCCTTCGCATGCCAATAGGCCCATTCTAAAAAGAGGGATTTTGCTTCAGTTTGTCTTCTAGTCATTTCACTCTTCAGCTATTAAAAGACAGGGATTAGGTTCTGCCTCCTCCCCTCCCTGGATTTAAACCTTCTTCACATCAAAGAGAGACCTTAAAAATGGATGGCTTCCTTACTAGAAAAAGGAGGTTGGCATGAGCTTGCATGATCTCACTCAAAATTCTGACTTTTTAAAGCAAGACTCTCTAGTAGCCAATGCTTTAAATATGACTTCATTGCTGCCCAACCAAAAAGGTGTGTGCATGTATCTGATATCTCTCTGAGTTATATGAAAGGTACCATGGCATGTAGGGACAAACCTTCAAAAATGAACACCTGAAGTTGAACCCACACAAAAATGCATACACAAGTATGGGGATGGACTTCACCTGAGTAAGGAGGGAAATAGACTTCTAGGATGGAGGATGTTACAACTGGTCAAGAGAGCTTTAAACTAGGAATCTGCAGGAGATGGTTGGGAGATGTCCAGGTAATCTCCACACCGGATTTTAACATTGAGAGGGAAGAAAACGAAGTAAGAAAGGATACAGTCGTGGGTAGGAGAATGGACATAAGGAGGAAGGGTAGTGTACATACCAGTCTAATAGGTGATACTGGCGGTAGAATGTCTGTGCCTAATCGGGTAAAGAATATAAGCAAGGCCAAATGGCAAAAATTAAGATGTTTGTACACTAATGCGAGGAGCCTAGGTAACAAAATGGAGGAACGAGAGCTACTGGTGCAGGAAGAGAAACCAGATATTATAGGGATAACAGAAACATGGTGGAATAGTAGTCATGACTGGACTACAGGTATTGAAGGGCATGTGCTGTTTAGGAAAGACAGAAATAAAGGCAAAGGTGGTGGAGTAGCATTGTATATCAGTGATGAGGTAGACTGTAAAGAAATAAGAAGTGATGGAATGGATAAGACAGAGTCTGTCTGGGCAAAAATCACATTGGGGAAGAAAGCTACTAGAGCCTCCCCTGGGATAGTGCTTGGGGTGTGCTATAGACTACTAGGATCCGATCTGGATATGCATAGAGACCTCTTTAATGTTTTTGATGAAGTAAATACTAATGGGAATTGTAAAAAGAAAAGGAGTACTTGTGGCACCTTAGAGACTAACCAATTTATTTGAGCATGAGCTTTCGTGAGCTACAGCTCACTTCATCAGAATTGTGTGGGAATTGTGTGATCATGGGAGACTTTAACTTCCCAGATATAGACTGGAGGACAAGTGCTAGTAATAATAATAGGGCTCAGATTTTCCAGGATGTGATAGCTGATGGATTCCTTCACCAAGTAGTTGCTGAACCAACAAGAGGGGATGCCATTTTAGATTTGGTTTTGGTGAGTAATGAGGACCGCATAGAAGAAATGGTTGTAGGGGACAGCCTTGGTTTGAGTGATCATGAGCTAATTCAGTTCAAACTAAATGGAAGGATAAACAAAAATAGATCTGTGACTAGGGTTTTTGATTTCAAAAGAGCTAACTTTAAAAAATTAAGGAAATTAGTTAAGGAAGTGGATTGGACTGAAGAACTTGTGGATCTAAAGGTGGAGGAGGCCTGGAATTACTTCAAATCAAAGTTGCAGAAACTGTCAGAAGCCTGCATCCCAAGAAAGGGGGAAAAGTTCATAGGCAGGAGTTGTAGACCAAGCTGGATGAGCAAGCATCTTAGAGAGGTGATTAAGAAAAAGCAAAAAGCCTACAAGGAGTGGAAGATGGGAGGGATCAGCAAGGAAAGCTACCTTATTGAGGTCAGAACATGTAGGGATAAAGTGAGAAAGGCCAAAAGCCATGTAGAGTTGGACCTTGCAAAGGGAATTAAAACCAATAGTAAAAGGTTCTATAGCCATATAAATAAGAAGAAAACAAAGAAAGAAGAAGTGGGACTGCTAAACACTGAGGATGGAGGGGAGGTTAAGAATAATTTAGGCATGGCCCAATATCTAAACTTTGCCTCAGTCTTTAATGAGGCTAATGAGGAGCTTAGGGATAATGGTAGGGTGACAAATGGGAATGAGGATATGGAGGTAGATATTACCACATCCGAGGTAGAAGCCATACTTGAACAGCTTAATGGGACTAAATTGGGGGGCCCAGATAATCTTCATCCAAGAATATGAAAGGAACTGGCACATGAAATTGCAAGCCCATTAGGAAAAATTTTTAATGAATCTGTAAACTCAGGGGTGGTACCATATGACTGGAGAATTGCTAACATAGTTCCTATTTTTAAGAAAGGAAAAAAAGGTGATCCGGGTAACTACAGGCCTGTTAGTTTGACATCTGTAGTATGCAAGGTCTTGGAAAAAAATTTGAAGGAGAAAGTAGTTAAGGACATTGAGGTCAATGGTAATTGGGACAAAATACAACATGGTTTTACAAAAGGTAGATCGTGTCAAACCAGCCTGATCTCCTTCTTTGAGAAGGTAACAGATTTTTTAGACAAAGGAAATGCAGTGGATCTAATTTACCTTGATTTCAGTAAGGCATTTGATGCAGTTCCACATGGGGAATTATTAGCTAAATTGGAAAAGATGGGGATAAATATGAAAATTGAAAGGTGGATAAGGAACTGGTTAAAGGGGAGACTACAACGGGTCACACTGAAAGGTGAACTGTCAGCCTAGAAGGAGGTTACTAGTGGAGTTCCTCAGGGATCAGTTTTGGGACCAATCTTATTTAATCTTTTTATTACTGACCTTGGCACAAAAAGTGGGAGTGCGCTAATAAAGTTTGCGGATGACACAAAACTGGGAGGTATTGCCAATACAGAGAAGGACCGGGATATTATACAGGAAGTTCTGGATGACCTTGTAAACTGGAGTAATAGTAATAGGATGAAACTTAATAGTGAAAAGTGCAAGGTCAGGCATTTAGGGATTAATAACAGAATTTTTGTTATAAACTGGGGACGCATCACTTGAAAGTAACAGAGGAGGAGAAGGACCTTGGAGTATTGGTTGATCACAGGATGACTATGAGCCGCCAGTGTGATATGGCCGTGAAAAAACTAGTGCGGTCTTGGGATGCATCAGGCGAGGTATTTCCAGTAGAGATAAGGAGGTGTTAGTACCATTATACAAGGCACTGGTGAGACCTCATCTGGAATACTGTGTGCAGTTCTGGTCTCCCATGTTTAAGAAAGACGAATTCAAACTGGAACAGGTACAGAGAAGGGCTACTAGGATGATCCGAGGAATGGAAAACTTGTCTTATGAAAGGAGACTCAAAGAGCTTGGCTTGTTTAGCCTAACCAAAAGAAGGCTGAGAGGAGATATGATTGCTGTCTAGAAATATATCAGAGGGATAAATACCACAGAGGGAGAATTATTTAAACTCAGTACCAATGTGGACACAAGAACGAATGGATATAAACTGACTATCAGGAAGTTTAGACTTGAAATTAGACGAAGGTTTCTGACAGTCAGAAGAGTGAAGTTCTGGAACAGCCTTCCCAGGGAAGCAGTGGGGGCACTAAGCTTGATAAGTTTATGGAAGGGATGATATGATGGGATAGCCTAATTTTGTCAATTAATTGATCTTCAACTATTAGCGGTAGATACCCCCAATGGTCTGTGATGGGATGTTAGATGGGGTGGGATCTGAGTTACTCCAGAGAATTCTTTCCTGGGTGTCTGGCTGGTGAGTCTTGCCCACATGCTCAGGGTTTAGGTGATCGCCATATATGGGCTCAGGAAGGAATTTTCCTCCAGGGCAGATTGGCAGAGGCCCTGGGGGGTTTTTCGCCTTCCACTGCAGCGTGGGGCACGGGTCACTTGCTGGAGGATTCTCTGCACCTCGAAGTCTTTAAACAGTGATTTGAGGACTTCTATAGCTCAGACATAGGTTAGAGGTTTGTTACAGGAGTGGGTGGGTGAGATGCTATGGCCTGCGTTGTGCACGAGGTCAGACTAGACGATCATAATGGTCCCTTCTCACCTTAAAGTCTATGATTCTATGTTGATAAATTGGAAAGGGTCCAGAGAAAAGCCACAAGAATGATTAAAGGATTAGAAAACATGCCTTATAGTGATAGACGCAAGGAACTCAATCTATTTACCTTAAGAAAGAGAAGGTTACGGGTTGACTTGATCACGGTTTATAAATAGTTGGTCCTTCCTGGCATGGAATCTATGAAAGCAGGAATTGGTACAGAACCTGTCTATGCACACGCAAGTGCCCATTTGCACATGCAGTTTTCCCATTTTGAGCATGCAAATGCAAATATGTATGTAGCACGTCCAATTACTTGTTTGCTAGAGCTGCTCAAAAAATTTGTAATCAAAACTTTTTTTTATTAAAAATGTTTTTTTGACTAAACAGCAAATTTTTTTGAGAAAATTTCTGTTTTCACAGATATTTCCCAGGTTTTGTTGAAAAGCAAAAAAAAAGCCAAATAAAATTCTGACAAAAAATTTCATGTTCTTCAAATTTTTTTTCAGAAAATAAAAATATAATTTAACCGGTTCTATGTTTTTCATCTTATAGACACGTGCATGCATACACACACACACAGAGGACTTGAAATCAGTGGGAATTTTGCCATTGACTTCTTTAAGAGATGGATCAGGATTTTAAGTTGCAAGTGCAAAAGGCACTCCATTTTGAAAATGACAGCCTTAAAGTTTCCACCTCCCTTATGTGTTTATTTGGACCATATGTGACATTTCTTTTTTAAAACCCTCCCAAAAAACATCTGCTGTGTTTGGCTATATTTCATAAGACATGATTTTCATTTGACTGGCATTTTAATTAGTTAGTTCAAACCTTTTCAGTTTGATTCAGTCTTAAATTCCCCACCGCCATGTTTCCACAGCCTATTCTCAAATAATTGATTCTTTATCATCTTAAAACACTTTCAGGGTCTAGAGAAGAAAGCTGTTGGGGTCTCCAGTTAGTTGGAAAACACAGACCATTAGTTGTTTTCACTGCTTTCAACAGAAACTAAGGGCCCAATCCAATGCTCACTGAAGGCAATGGAAGTTTCTTTCATTTATTTCAGTGGCAGTTGGTATGGGCCCTCAGAGATTTGGGCAAGATAATTTAATTATTAAAATCTTTATTTCAATCTATTATAGGGCCAGCTCCTGAGGTTTTTACGCAAATTTAATTCAGTCTACCTAGATTCAGACAAAACTCCCCAATGGCAGTCTGCCACAGTAAAGAACTCAGGATTTAGCCCAGAAGTATTATGGGGCAAAGAAAATTGCTCCTGAATGATCCCATCAGTCCACAGCATCTTTAGGACTATTTTTCAGATTATTCTTGCTAGTTTATTGAAGTAATATCAATGGATCAGCTTAATTTAAATCTATTTAATCTTACAAAAAGATTGTAATAGCAGGAAATATTGCCCAGTTAAGCTGTGCAATTGCCCTCAAAGGAAATGGTGGAAATTTCATTGTTTGAGTTGCTTAAAACTGGAAGGGGTAAAGCAGCAGAGAATGTACTAGAGGGAAAAGGCAGCAGTGGAATAGCTGTGATCTAGAAGTTATTTTCCATCTTTGTCAGCAGAACATTCATATTTTGGCAGGATAAAGAATCTGCATGCGAAAATAATTGAGAAAGATGCCATGATCAAGGTCCTTCAGCAGCGTTTGCGGAAGGATGCTGGGAAAACAGATAGCACAAGTTTACGGCCTGCTCGATCAGTCCCGTCCATCGCTGCAGCAGCGGGTGCGCATTCCCGCCAGACCTCTCTCACCAGCAATCAGATAGCTGAGGAAAAGAAGGAGGAGAAGACCTGGAAAGGAAGCATAGGTGAGCACCAATTTGAGCAAGGCATTGGCAGTGCAAAGGGTTTCAGTGAGAGGACGGCTTAACAAGTAAAATCTGTCTGTGGCCAGAATAAGACTTTGAGGGTCAGCTTTGAAAGTGTGATTGGCCACTTTCCACAAACAGTTTGAGCCACCACCCTGTGTGTTCCGGCACAGCTGCACTCGCCTGACAATCATACCCAGAGGAATGCAGGCAGTGTATGCATATTTCATGGGAATCAAACCTACTCTGGGCTAGGAAAAGTTGCATTAAACTAGAGAGCAGACAGCACTTTGGATAGGTTTCAGAGTAGCAGCCGTGTTAGTCTGTATTCGCAAAAAGAAAAGGAGGACTTGTGGTACCTTAGAGACTAACCAATTTATTTGAGCATAAGCTTTCGTTGCATCCGATGAAGTGAGCTGTAGCTCATGAAAGCTTATGCTTCGCCACTTGTTTTCTCCCAAGATGAAACATTCCTCATTTTAAAATGTACCTTTCATTGGTGTAAGGTGTGGCAGTAATTAAGGGGACACACCTGATCATGAAACCTAACACACACAACTTTGCTTCTTTTATTCCAAATGCTGGGGGTAGATGTCTCTCTTCCTGATAGTGAGATCTAGGAGGCTGTCTTTCGGGGGGGGGCCTCCCCAGGTGAGTAGTGGTCCCCTCATTAGTGGATATATTTAAAACTACCCTGCACCAAAGCCCTGGAGAACAATCCTTCCCTGGGAGGAGGCTGGCCTGGGGGACTTAGCAGGGCTTCTCCATCTCTGATTTTACTAACATGATCATTATTGTGTTTTTAGGGTTGCTGTTAGGGAAGGATCATCATGACCATTCATCAATCCCTGCACTGCCTCCCCTGCCTCCCTCTTTGTCCTGTGCAGCCCCCTCGTTGCCAGTCAGCACCTCCCATGCTAAAACAGGCAGCAAAGACAGCAGCACTCAGACTGACAAAAGCTCTGAGCTTTTCTGGCCAAACATTGCTTCTTTCCCAGGCAGGGGAAGGCTAAGCACCACCCCATCAAACAGCCCTGCCCTGAGACACACAGGAGCCAAAGGCACTAGAGATAAACTAGGTAAGTGATTCCAACCTTCATGGTACAATCAGTGCATTGATATTATGGTGACTCACGCTATATAGGTGCCTGAGACAAATATAATTATAGAGAGGCAATACTTCTTAGATGGATGAATAAATTGTTGCTGGTTATTATCTCAAGACAATCAAAAGCATTCTTTAAGTCAAATTTAAGAGAGAGATGTGTGCAAAACCACCTGCTTTGGCCTTGCAAACTTTCCTATGCAGAACTTAGATTTTTTTTTACCAGTTTTCATCAAGTTCCATTAATTTGCTGAAGGGGGAAATTTCAGCATGTACAGTTATTTGTGGTGCCAAAAGTGACATTCCATCCTGGAACTGGTCACAACATTTCTCTCCTTGGATACATTCCGCATTTGTTCCCACATTCAGACAAACATTTTTTTGGAGAATTTTCCCAGTTTAAACTATTTTGGGGGGGAAGAAATCATTTGTTTCATATTTTTATGAAAACTCGTGGGAAAAGTGAGCCGAAAACACAGAATGGTTTACTTTTGTGTGAAAACTAGGGAAATTTGATTTAGAAATGATTTTTGACGGATGAGGACTGTTTCCATACACTCCTAGTTAGAGGAGACATTTGTTTTAAAAACATTATTTTAGAAAAAGACTGTTTCCCACACAATCTTTTATTCCCCATGAAAAGAACTCCATCGCTGTTAATTGAAAGAGGTGCAGTCAAGTAATTTAAACCCTAAATTTAGACTTCAGGAAGGGAAATAAGATGGATGTAAAGTTGTGTTTTCAGCCGTTAGATACTCTTGTGCTGGGGGCAATAGACAGATAGATAAAATACATGGATTACAATAGTATCTTGGACTAATTTTTCAAAATGCTATACAAGTAGAACTGTTTTCACAGATAAAGAAAAAGAATAAAAACAACTTAAAAAATATTTAGGGATTCTATACTCAGTTATATCACTATAGATCCAGAGTAGCTGCTCTGAGAAGCTTCCCCAAATAATGGTAAAGCCTACAGCATATTGACATTTTCCAAATTTCAGTTTTTCAGTGAAAGTTGGGATTTTGATGCCCAACTTGAGACACCTTAAAGGGGGCAAAGCTGAGCCACCCTCCTTCTAAAAATCAGACCTCTTCAAGGTGTCCAAAATCACAAGTCTCTTGAAACTCTTGGCCAGTATGTTTTCCAAAATTCAGCTCTGAGGTTTAGTTCAAGCCCATTTTCAATTAACAATGAATTAAACTTTTAAACTTCTCTGTGCTTTAATGATCTAAAAGATTCTTTCTGCTTTAAGAATCTGAGGATTCTTACGGTGATACGGCAGTTTCAGTATCTAGGTAGGCATTTATTGTGTTTATTAGCAACACAGGGGAAGAAACATTGTTAAATGTCATTTTTATCTTTACCATGTCCCTTTAATTCACATTGTGTCCAATCCTACATTCTTTGCAAGCTAATTAACCTACTAACGTCAGTGGGATTCCTTTGGTGCACCAGGAATTCAGGGTCAGGTTCTACTATGAAATACACCCAAGCCCTTCTTGGTGCAAATCCAGTTTGCCACAGAGAACTTCAGATGTTGCAAATGGCAGGAGTTATATTTTCAAATTGCAAAACTGAAACATAAAAATAAGAATTCTATCTCAGAGGGCATAAGTGACTGAGGAGTTGTTGCATCCTGGCAAACACCAGAGGAACTCTCTCTGATGTCACTACCCCAGGGATGAATTTGGCCTTACATTATAAAAAAGTATTGTTAGAGATTTTCCCCCAAAAATAGTTTGCATTAGTTTTTGAGAATTTCTGATGAATCTGGATTTCTCTCTCTCCTCACTGTCACAGAGAACTCCCCCAGCCATGGGAAGCTGTCTGATAACAAAGGCCGAGTAAGCAGTTTGGTCCAGAAGCCTGAATTTCCTGATGCCGACATGATGGAAGTCCTCATCTGAGGAAAGAGTGACCTTCCTCAGGATTTTGTGCAGACACATTTAAATCCACGGAGGCCAATGTTGTGCAAATCTTAAAAACTAAATATAAGAGTTTGAAGAATGTCTGAGAAAGATTGAGTCTGGAAGGATCCTAGAGGCTGAGATGAATTAGACTTTGAATGACAGAGGGAAAAGAAAGAGATGTAAACATGAAATGAAGGATGCTGAAGGTGGACATGAATGGCTGGAATATTCTGACAACAGAAGGTGATAAGGAAACATGGATTCACAAAGAGATGGTAAAGGAAATAGGAACTGCATTTACTATTGTAGAGAAAACGTATCTTTTTACCATTTACAACAGTGTTCTATAATGCTGTTCTATTTTACTCTCTAGCTACAACCAAGACAGAGACTGAAATCCTGACTCTGTTGAAGTCAGTGGGAGTTTGTGAATTGTCCAGGAGAAGTTTACACTTTTCTCAAATTTAGTCATTATTCATAATTGTTCACCAGATTATTTTAGTGAAAAATTCTTGGTCTGTAGATTGAGCACAAAGCAGTTTGTTGTAAGTATTTGTTTCAAGCCGGGTTGGTTTGTTTTGGTTGGACATATAGGTCTTTCCTGATTGGATGAGTGCTACTCTTGGGAACAGGTTTCCAAAGCAAATTCTCATGTTTTGCAAATTCAAAATTTGCTCAAAATTCACTGTCGCCAGGAGCATTTCTTTGCTAGAATTTGCATAGAAGATGCATGTAAAAGGGGCATAAACCCTGTCAAAGCAATTTCTTTTACAATTTTGGTAACTATTCAGGGGAAAATGTTGAGCGTATTCCCTCAGCTCTAATACATAATACACACACACAAAGCTGTGTAAGCAGCAAATTGTACATACATTCAAGTGCTAAAAGTTTTTACTCCTGAGGGCTTGGAGACAATGGGCATTCAGGATGCTCAGCACCTCGCAGGGAACAACATGGTGCCACTATAGATGTATTCTCTGGCTTATTAAAATAATAGTACAGTATTCTGCAGTTTCTGTCCAAACTGCTTCAGCATTGTCAGTGGGGCAAATTCTACCCTCCTGTTGTGACCCAGGGTGAATTTGAGGATGCAATGGCAGGCAGCGTTTCAGGCCAGGGTTACTACAGTGTTTGGGGCCAGTTACTGTAGAGGTTTGAGAGGAATGTGGAGATCATTGACTGATTTCAGCCTAATTCATCCAGGTTTGCTGCTTGCAATTGAGATCAGAATCAGGCCCTTCGGTGTATATTAAATAACAATAATAAAGTTAGTCAATACACTTGGGATGAGAAATAATAAACGTCCTCACTTAAAAATGGATTTCCACTGCACATGGCACTGCAGGAGTTAATTTGCACAACTGCTTAGCATGGTTCAGTTTGTTGGTAAGATTTCTACAGCACTTCGTAGCTGCCTGACTGGGATGTTTACATTCAAAGACATTTTAAAAGACAGCCTGGTTGTGTAAATGAGAAAGGATGTTTCTGAACATGCACGGAAATTCTCCTAATCCTTTTTTCCTGATCTTAAAGGGACCAATCCTGCAGCCCTTATATAAGTAGGCGTGCCTCACCCGAGTCAAGGTTACAGGACTGGGCTCAAATTTTAATTGTGACACACGTGAATGTGTGTTGAGAGATGGAAGATTTAATATTTCTAAGGTCACCAGGTTAGGGTCCCCGAGGGATATTTTGGTGGTGAGTCTGTATATGTAAACATGCACAACCATTGCTGTCTAAATGATCATTCCTTAGAAGTTGCATTCACCCCCCCATGCAGAGGAGCCTGCACAAGACCTATGCCCCACTTAAAGCTTCCCAATAAGGCTTAAATGGGACAAAAGTGGAACCTGTTCTATGTAAAAATATCCTTGTCCTGGCTCTCTGCACAAGGGTGAATTTCATCCCCATGATTCAGCGAGAATTTGGTCAAATCAAAACATGTTTTCGTGGAACAGGACTATGTATGCAGAGTTCCTTGATGGGGGCTGGAATTCACCTTTTCATCACTTTGGTTGTGGGGCTGCTCACAAGAAAAGAACTCTATGAAAAGCACTCTTTTTTTTTTTCCACTCAAATACTGCTGGAGATTTGTTCAAACTAAAAAATAAATGGCTTCTGGGCAGAGACCAAGTTTTGAAAATGTCTCCCCAAGGTGAGAAGGCAAAGGTCGGGACGCAGCATATTCTAATAACTGGGAGCCTAGAAATTCGCCATGCGCTAATCTTGGCTCAGCCACTGTCTCGCTGTGTGTCCTTGGGCAAGTCAGTCAATCTCTCTGGGCCTGATTCATCGCTGCGCTACTCCAGTTTTACACCAGCGTCACTGACCTAAAAATGGGAGGTGTAGCAGTGTAGCATCAGGCCTTGTCTGTCTGAGCGACCCCAGCTGTAAAATGGGGATAGGAATGCTTTCCTTCCTACCAGGGCTGTGGAGAAGGCTGGTGTTTGTACAGTGCTTCGATGATGCAAAGCGCTATATAAGTGCTTAGTGATTTTAACCCCAAAAAATCTCCCCAAGATAACCCCTCCCGCCGCCCCCCCTCAGGTCTGATCTTACATTCCTTGCTCCCTCAAGTTAATGGGATTTGAGACACTTCAGCAATATAGAACTTGGCTCCTAGAGTTTAACTGCATCATTGTTAATAATCATTTGGTTGTTTCCTGCTGAGCTGCCATCTCTCTTCGCCACTTGTTTTCTCCCAAGATGAAACATTCCTCATTTTAAAATGTACCTTTCATTGGTGTAAGGTGTGGCAGTAATTAAGGGGACACACCTGATCATGAAACCTAACACACACAACTTTGCTTCTTTTATTCCAAATGCTGGGGGTAGATGTCGCTCCTCGTCATTTAAAAAAAAAATCTTTCCAAATCTTTGGATTCTCTTTTCCCACTGAAGTTAGGGGTTAATACGGCCTTGAGATGGGGGTGAGGGTGATTTTGCAGCCCTGGTGGTCAAAGATTCAAAGTGTGCCAAGGCACCTCTTCCGCCTCGCAGGGCTCAGCACTTGCTCCTCTGCCGGTGGAGGCGGACCTGGAGGGAATCAGCCCCACTCCAGACAGTGTTTATCTTCCCCCTAGGGGGTTTATTTGTCAATATTTTCCAGCTAGGCTTCAGCGGAGGTCCAAGGAGTTCTCCTCCACCAAACGAAAGGACACAAATTCACAGCACAGAAAAGGGGAATACCTTTTCCTACCCTCTTTCTGGGGTTGGGTGACGTTGTTGGCCCTGGGGTGCCAGTTCATCCCCTAAACAGGCAGGCAGTTAGGTAGCTTCCCCTGTAGGGAGGTGAGCAGCCTTCCACCATGGAGGAGTCCTTTCTCCTTGCTGCCACTAGCCCTGCAGCAGCTAGTCTCTCCCCCTCCTCTCTCACCAGCAGAGGGGTTTGTACAGGTTTCAGGCAGCCCTTAACTGGGCTCAGGGGTCCCTAGTGGACCTGAGGTAACCCCTTTCCAGCTTAGAGGGAAAAGGGCCTTTATCATTCTAGGGCTCATCTACCCGCCTTCCACCACTCTCTTCCAGCTGTCCAGCCTGACTTTGTCACAAAAGTCACAAGTTTAGATGCATTCATGTGTTCAGGGCTGGCCCCAGGAGGTTATGAGGGGAACCCTCTTGCAAACACTTACACTGAGCTCTTTCTACCAGCCACTAGATTGTGGAGACTGCAACCACTTTCAAGTCTGCTTCCACTGAAAACTTGTGCTCTGAAGGCCTGCAGGTGCCAAAAGCCAGCCATGTGTCTGCTACAACATGGAGTAGTGCATAGCAAAGCGATGCTTTTTTTTTGTACTAAACAATGTTGTTAAATCTATGCACTTATATTTCTCTATACATAGAAATATTCATATGTCAGCATCTCCCTCTCTTTAATTTTTGCACTTGTTAAAATAGGGTATGTTTTTAAGTATTAGCAGCTTTGCCTTGCAAAGCAAATGCATAAACCCTTTGGAAGATGTTACGCAATTTAATATGCATTGTAACAGTAATTCTTTTTCCTCACTTTGTTAATTTAAATGTTTTAAGAGGATATGTATTCGACATATGGCTTCTATCTGTCCTTCATACAGTCTTGATCCTACAACCTTGATTCACGTCAGTAGTCCTTACTCAAGTGAACAGGTGTGGCAAGATCACACCCTTAATCAGGCATGGATCAGCAGAGAGACAAGGGAGTAAAAATAAAACTACTAGTGATAAATATTTCACCAAATGGACCTTGGACCTTTTCTAAGGAATAAGGATACACAAAAGCTTTGTAATCCTTTTGTTTGTTCAGTATTTTATTGCTAGCTATACGATTTCCTTTCAAGCAGAGCTATTTAATATATGCTGTACATATATACAACTAGTCATCCAGCAAAAACGGTGTTCTATTAACGTGCATGATGGTGTTGTTTTCACACAATTATATCTGCTAGCGGTATAACTTTGCTTCTTTTGGTCACTTAGAATACAGCTCTCCCTCTCTCTTTATATATATTTCCAGCATTTCTTTAAGCATCAATCCCTCCAGTTGCAATACCCAAAGGTGTGTTTACAATTGATGCTGCCCAGGATTCTAGTCATCTACAGAAAACTATTTATTTAGATAGCTTTTGAATTCACAGCTGACATAAACGTAGAGGGTAATTCTTCCTGGTTTTGTTGAGCTCGTGAAATTTTTGTTTTCACACCAAGGAAGGCGGTGGATCTCTACCCAAAGTTAGAGCATTAGTGGCAATATGTGTAAAGTACTACTGTTAGTAAATCAGTTCACCTAGCCTCAGCAAACCAGTGTAACTGCATTTCTACTGTTCTTCCCAACTGCTTGATTTGTATTGTGCTTTGTGAAATTGTGCTGTAGCCATTCCAGGTGATGTTGGTAACTGATTGTAAAATATTGTCATTTTCTACTGTTGTTGGTTGTATAGAATGGTTGGTGTACAGTGTTGTACAGCTGGAGGGGTGTTTGTACATATGTGGGGAAATGAAGAACATTATATGTCACTCACGGCAAATATTGATATTGTTGGTCAGCCAAAGATTTTCCTATTCTTTGCTGCTTAAACTTGTGCCTTAATATTGTATATAATAAATGTATAAAATGTTTCCTTCCTTGAGTTTCCAGTGTGAAATGTATTAGCTGTATGAAAAAACCACAAATTTTTAAACCATTCTCTATGCTTTTGCAGGCCAGTTACTAAAACTGGAAAGTGATGGCCCCAGTTAGCTTCAGATCATTTCCCCTTTTCATAACCCTAAACTATTGACATCATGGCATACTGGTGGAGAGGAAGTTGGTTGTGTCTCATCTGAAAGACAAGGACAATACAGACTCCCTGCACATGACAAACTCTTATAGATAGGCCTGCAAAGCGAAGAGTAAAAACAAATAAAGGAAAGGAACCTAGCCACGATCCAGCAAGCATGAAGAATGGGATCAGAGAGAATTAATTTAACTTCTCACATGCTCTTGAATGCGTCTATTAAAAAATTCCTGAAACGACTCCAGAGGAGCTCCGTGTATGTAAGGTATGAAAACCATGAAGTGTATCTTCCCGGCTGCTTGCCACATTCCTGCCTGGCTCTCCTGCACCTGTTTTTAAAAAAACAACCCTGGAATTAACATGTGTCAGAAGACACACAGGGATGTCATAGATACCAGCGTGGATGGCATCCTTCACACATTGCAGCAGTCTCATGTCACACATACTCAACACAGGTTTCAGGTGCTGGGTCACCTATCTTAGCACTCTCTCCAAGATGCAGCAGCTGTATCTATTTTTAGTGCAGGTGGGCTTTGCCAACAGCAGCAAAAAGAAATTAGGTAACGCGCTCAGGCCCATAGAAGAATCTAGTTTGTTGTTTGAAAAAAAAGCCGGAGCCTGGATGTTGTAGCAAGATTTAGGACTTCGCTGAGTGGCTTGAGATCATGTTAGGAAATGAACCAGCCCAGGAAAAAATGGAAGGAAATGTGTAGGAAAAGCTGAATAAAAAATGTGTCCAGCTATAGACCAAAATGGATTTGATCCCACTTTGGAATGCCTACAAACACAGGAGCTTCCCAAACTGCCAGCCAAATAAGGAGGATCACTGAGGTACCAAAATAGCACCACTGGGCTGTGAGTCAGGCGTCCCCTGTTCTGTTCCCATCTTTGCCACTGACCTGCTGTGCCCCAGGTGGTAAATGGGAGTAGTGATACTGGCTGGAAGAGCTGCAGGTGAAAAGAAGCCCAGAAGGACAAAGTGGTGTTGGCGGCAATGCATTCACTATGCTCGGCAGTTCCATGGCTTCTTTGTTGCCTTGTTCCTTCTCAACATGACCGATTAAGGCGTCTTTTACAAAAGGAAGCCGTAGCTCAGAGTCCAGTTAGTCCTCCCTTGGTGTAACAATTTGTGTTCAATATTTTGATTTAATCACATCTACTGTCATTCAATCTTAATTTTGTGAAGTTTTCTCGCTGTCTCACCCAGATGTCAGAAATTGTTTCATTTATAAACAGCTTCAGAATCTGCCTCCATTGTACTGCGCTGAGTCATTTCCTCTCCTTGAATCCACAGGAAATGGCGTAAGCACCATGGCTTAAGATATTTAAAACTCAGTGTGAGAAATGCAGACGGAGAGAGTGGCCAGTGTAAGAAGCAAGCTGGCACCGGCGGGAATGGACTAGGTGACCACAGAACTTCTAGAAGCTCGCCTTAAACCCATCCTTCCCACTTTACCAGACAGTTGGCTCTCATTGCAAAAACACGCTCTTTAGGATGCAGGGCTGCTGTTACAACAGTGGCTTGCGCTGCAGCTCTCCTATCTTGGGAAGCACTTCCATCAGACAGCAAGCAGGGAAAACGAGGACGAATGAGCAGCAGCATTACATCCACTGGTAAGCCCAGTACAAGAAGAGCAGTTGGCATCATTTCTGTTCTGTATTAATGGTAATCCATCCCTTAAACCATGGCTTTGCAGGCAAGTGAAACTAGCTTAACTACACCACACTCTCAGGCTACAAAAGGGCCAGGAATTAGATTACACTAAGGCTGAAAGACCCTAGGGCATTGTCTTTCATAGCCGCTACTTCAGCTTTAGACGAATAAATATCACCGTTCATAGTCACCAGAGGATCCCTTGGCTCCCCAGCCCAGAGGGTGAAATTCCCCCCACCCCCACCCATGCAGCAGTCCAGTGCACCACTTTAAGTCCTGTTTTGATGTAAACCAGGAGTAACTCCACTGAAGTCAATGGACCGACACTGGTGTACACAATATCAGAATCAGGCCCAAAGTGTATTGAATTAGGGCCCAGGCCTGGAAAGTGCTGGGCGTTGAGAAGCAGCCAAGAAGGGGCATTCAGCACCTTGCAGGATCTTGACTTTTCCTGAGTACATTCTGTAAGGTGCTTTGAAAACTACTGGGGTTGTATCAATGCAAGAGCATTATCAGTTACTGAACATCAGCCCACAATGGCCAACAGTTTCCAACCATTCCTAAAGGAATATCAGTGCCCCATGAAAATCAGGGCACTGCGTTAGGTGCCTCACTATGGGCTTGGGTGCCTAGCTATGGGCACCCAGTTTCGAAACTGTACAAGCAATGGCCAGCTCATTGCCCAGCCCTCTCCTGCTGTATTTTCAGCTACAGATTTGATGTCATTAGCAGTGATGATTTTGCCCTGCGAGATGAGGCGATTTCTAAGTCCCCCAAATCTAAGGTGTCAATGTACAGCCACTTGCCTGGCAGAATAAGCTTTCAGGAAGAAGCAGCGGCTGATGTTTTAAGGGAAGGGCCCTGACCAGGGACATTTATCATTACAAAAGAAGCGGGCCTGGCAAACAGAGTCTGCTCCTGTCAGTTTTGCTTTGGTTGTGCAGTGTCAGAGCTCGACTAATAATTGACATGGACCTTTTCTAACCAGACAGGGTGCTCAAGGGAATGTTTCACAGTCAAACTATTTCTGAAAGGGTTTGGTTACCAGTCTGTTTCACGTTTCCCAGGGTGACCTGGGCAGCTTACCCAGAGCAGAGGCCTCAGCGAATGGCATAGGCGTCTATTTCAGTAACGGGTCTGGCATAACTTTGAAATATCATTACACGCTACACACTAGATTGCTGCCTGTGTGTAACTTGTAATGTCACCAGGAGCCTCCCAGCTAGTTTCTCAAGCTCCTCACTCTCAAATTAAAGCAAATACGGGAAGAAAAAAATGTCTTCAGTTCCTATATAGCTCAGCCTGTCCCTTCCGGAGTTTGGCACATCGGTAAATCTCTGTGTGGAGCCCTGCACACAGGTGACTAGGAAGAGGACTTTAATCTTGCAACTATCTTGAGCACTGTCTTCATGTCAGCTAAATGGATCAGGGAATGCTAATGGTGATAGAAGCCCAGATCCTGGAAGGTATTTAGCGCCTAACTCCCATTGATTTCAATGGGAGTTGGGCACCTAAATAGCTTTAAGGATGTGGGGCACAGAACCTCCCCCACCTTGAAGGTCAGCTGTTCAAATCTTACACTGGAAACTTTTTGCGGCAGGTCCCATGTCGTTATATGTCTTTGTACTACGGCTGCAATGAAAAAGCACATATGCCAGGTCCTGGGCTCCTCCGACAATCTGGTCAAGAAAAATATATTTGATCATTGTGAAATGAGCTTTCCATCTAAGTCCAATTCCTAGTGCCTAAGTCTCATTTGCATCAAGGTAAATCAGGAGTAACTCCACTGAAAGTTAATGGGCTGGTTTCTGGTTGATTTTGGGGCTACTCTGGTGATACAAAGCAGCTCTCTGGCTGTCCGGTTATGTTGTGTTTACAGCTGCCTTGGCTTACCAGAGCAGTGCAAAGTAGTCAGAGCGTACTGGGGAATTGGTCCAATGGAATTTGCTATAAATAATACTGTTTGCTATAAAACTGGTGTGAAATCAGACTCAGTCCCATTTGTGCCCGCAGCAGATATGGGTGTAGAGCTGATCAGACAGCGGGGAATTCATTTACGAGCGCTTTCACTACTTTGCAGTCTCTGTCCATTTGGCTATGTTTGTGCCACCTTGCTTTTCTGAGAATATTTGTGCAGCTAGACTTTCGCTCACACATGAACAGGGGAAAACCAGATCTTCATGCAATTGCCTGTGTTCACATGCAAAAAATAAAATAAAATGGTGTTCATGCCCAACTGAAGAAGTGAGCATCCCCTATTGATAACGTTTAGTCACGCAGTCAGGGCACAGAAAGCCTATCATGTGAAGTATGTGACCAATCACACACTAATTGGGAGTAGCTGAAGGCACAGGCAAAGAGATTGATTTGTGAACAACCAATTGGCTGAAACACATTTGCATACATCACTTACTGTACAATGAGGAATAATGAAGTAGCACAATCTAGATTCTGTACTGCATTGCCAGGAGGTACAACCCAGGAGGAGGGTGGGCAAGGTGGCTTTTCACCACCTATGTGCCCTTTGGATTCTAGGCTACTAAGGGTCTTCACTCAGCTCCTAGTGTAAGTTAAAGCAGCCACAGGGCTGCTCTAACTTCAGCAGTCTTCCCAGAGCTGCCTATGGGCTGCGCAGCATCCCCAAATGCCCCATAACTACAGCTACTCCCCTTCCCAAGAGGCCAAAGACTGACAGGACAAAGAGACCGAACTCTCACTCCTACCAAAGGCTGCATTGCCCTGACCCATGCTGTATTTGTTCAGTGTATGAGCACGAGGCTCCAGGCCTCAGGGTTGCAGCAGAATCATGTCACTGTATGCGGAGTGTCTCCCGCTTACATTTAATGCAGCTCTGAGCATGAGTGATATGGAGAACAAACAGTTACAACTAAAGCTGAGCCCAAATCAATGTCTCCAACCTTTGGGGAGCTTTTAATGGATTTAACCTTTCCCCTGACCCGTACCACTCTCATGGCCTGAACCAAAATGCAATCTGGATCCCAGCACCCACCAGCTGGGGCGGAATTGCTGGATCTGGACTCTGCAGCTTTGGCCCATCTCTAATTAGACCTGGGTTCATTCACAGTCGATTGGCTCTTTGCTTTCTGTTTGCAGAGCGGCGGAATTTCCATTTCCTTTCAGGCCCCTGGCAGATGGGCTATAATCCTGGTTGAAGGAAAGAAGGAAATGAATCC